CTCACTCAACCAGTCATTGTTATGTAGCTTGTACTTATCAATCATTCCATTCCAACTTTCCTCAAATTCAATACAACTCAATGAATCATAAACGGCTCTTTGCAAGAAAAATTTGATGGATTCATATTGCTTATAACCTCTCAACTTTTCAGGTAATTTCTTCATGATGTGCCATAGGCACCATCGATGCCTAGCATTTGGGAAAACAATCTCAACTGCTTTCTTCATGGCCTTATCTTGGTCAGTTATTATAGAACATGGAGTTTTCCCAGACATACATGCAAGCCATGATTGAAATAACCAACAAAAAGTTTCCGTATCTTCACTAGAGATCAAACCACATCCAAACAAAGTTGACTGCCCATGATGATTAACTCCTACGAATGGAGCAAAGGGCATGTCATACTTATTTGTCAAATATGTTGTATCAAATGTAATAACATCACCAAATTCTTCATATGCAGCCCTACTCCTTGCATCAGCCCAAAACACATTCCTTAACCGACCCTCATCATCCAAATCCATTATATAAAAGAAGTTTGCATTTTCACCTTGCATCTTTAAGAAGTAATTTTGTATCGCAGAAGCATCTCCTTCCCCAAGCCGTAAACGCCTTATTTTATCAATGTAGTTTCTACAATCCTTCTCTAAAAAAGAGATATTCTCATGCCCCCCTGCTTCAACCACAAATGAATTAAAATTTTTATTTATTCTAATCCCCGCCTTATCGTTCAATTCAAGCTTCCTTTTCACATTTGGTCCCATCACTCGATTGCAACGAAAGAATCGAGCTTTGCTTGGACTCACCTCATGGTTATGATCAAGCATGACAGTGTTCAGTCGCCACTTTCTATCAGCACATAAAATTGCTAGGACCTTTGCCTTGCAACCTGTTCTGATACTTGGACGCGGTTTGAAAGGATTTTTAGAATTGCACTCTGACTTTCCTGATCGGGAACAACAAATCGTCAAATATTTCAACTCACCATCATCTCCTTTTGCTGATGATCTTATCTTAACTGGGAACCCCAATTGCTTACCATAATCTGTGTAATAGTCAAACAACTCCTTTTCACTTTCAAACATCATCCCAACCTTAGGCTCATCTACGTTGACCACATTCTGTATTTTAGTCTCAACATTTTTATCAATCATTTGCAAACTACTTGAACATTCTCCTTCCATTCTAAAAAAGAATTAACCCCACCAAGTGCCTCTTTGATTAATCAGAGATTTCTTAACCACAATATATGCCTGAACACCACATGTTTATGCTCCAAAATCACTAACAAAAATAAATGGATAGAATATTAAAAAGTAAAAAAGATGTAATAAACTTATAAGAAAATTAGTTCTTCAATGAATTCACATCTAAGACATCCTAAAACAATAGACATAATTAATCTTGAGAAATTCATAACAAAAAAGCAATATGCTGTAACAGTAAACCAACAAAGGAAAAAATGAGTAAACTTTATTTTTTATGTTCAGGATCTATATTTCGAGTATTTTTTAATGCTTTGTGTTTCTAAACTAAAAAGGAACTCTCTTTCCTGTACTCCGTGTATGGTGTTTGTAGTTGAATGTGTATTGACTTCTTGTGTTGAATTCAATGCTTAATGTGTGGTGCCTCATGTAATTCATGCCTAATTTTTCCTGATTAGCTCATGTGTTGCATGTTGTGTAGGTTCTGCAAGCCGAATCATTAATAGCAAAAATTCGGATTTATGGCGTAGAAAATTTGGAGCTACTGGTCAAATTCATTTGAAGCAATGATAAATGAGTTGTTTGACACTTACCAAGATGGGGACACTTAAAAAAATCTTGATCGAAACAATTGTTTACTCCAAGGCTTCGAACGATTATATATTCCAGCGAAGAGGTAAAGAGGGGAGGAGAAGCGTGATCGAAGCTCTCAAAAGACGAATGTGCTGGTGGCCAATGTCAATTGCCGGAGTTGTGAAATTCAAAAGTTGAGCAACCACATGGACAGTCCCAAAGTTGATCGGCCTAGCATCTCTTGTGGCAATTCGTGGACCTACAGAGCAAAAAAANCGTCCTAAAACAACAGACATAATTAATCTTGAGAAATTCATAACAAAAAAGCAATATGCTTTAACAGTAAAGCAACAAAGGAAAAAATGAGTAAACTTTATTTTTTATGTTCAGGATCTATATTTCGAGTATTTTTTAATGCTTTGTGTTTCTAAACTAAAAAGGAACTCTCTTTCCTGTACTCCGTGTATGGTGTTTGTAGTTGAATGTGTATTGACTTCTTGTGTTGAATTCAATGCTTAATGTGTGGTGCCTCATGTAATTCATGCCTAATTTTTCCTGATTAGCTCATGTGTTGCATGTTGTGTAGGTTCTGCAAGCCGAATCATTAATAGCAAAAATTCGGATTTATGGCGTAGAAAATTTGGAGCTACTGGTCAAATTCATTTGAAGCAATGATAAATGAGTTGTTTGACACTTACCAAGATGGGGACACTTAAAAAAATCTTGATCGAAACAATTGTTTACTCCAAGGCTTCGAACGATTATATATTCCAGCGAAGAGGTAAAGAGGGGAGGAGAAGCGTGATCGAAGCTCTCAAAAGACGAATGTGCTGGTGGCCAATGTCAATTGCCGGAGTTGTGAAATTCAAAAGTTGAGCAACCACATGGACAGTCCCAAAGTTGATCGGCCTAGCATCTCTTGTGGCAATTCGTGGACCTACAGAGCAAAAAAAAAAAAAAAAAGAGGGTGTTAGAAAAGCTTAGATGTACTAAAGATGAGATATTTATGAGCTTTTTCGTCATCAATACCTTTGCATACTTTAGAATCTGTGATAGCTTTTCAGGGAAATGATCGAATGGAAAACAAAAAATATCTACTGTGACATAGATTTGGACTGCTGAGCAGTACCACACGCATGCAAATGAAATCCAAGAAAGCAAATGTCGGTGGCACTCTTTGTTCTGCGGGCAAGTTTTGGCATAAGGAAGGGGAGGGTTTCAGGGAGGGAAGAGGGAAGATGAAACGTTAAACCTGAGATTTCATCTTAAAATTTTTTTTTTTTTTTTTGGGATGACATGGCTGGTACACATCAGCAGCCACATCATCATGTCTGTATTTTAAGTCTGTGTTTTAAGTCTGTCTAGCATTACTCTTTTAAAATTACACTGAGACCCCATAAAATTAACGCCGTTAACACCACAAACAAAAAGATCTTTTTACCCTCACCTTTACTACTCATTAAGACCCACGCCCCAAGACCCCTCCCCCGAAAGCTAACCACTCCCCCACACACATTCCCTCTCTCACAACGAATCAAAGCCCCAACATCTCTCTCTTTTTCTCTCTCAAGACGTATCAGACCCTCTAACAACCAATATCAACACTCAGCGGCACAACTATCGTCGCCTATTTTCACCAATACCCACCACTGTCGGTGATCGGCTCAACGGTAGAGCCAAAAAGGTATGGGCTGTAGGGCCATATAAAAAAACACCCCAAATTTTAGAGTTTAAGGTAAATTACATTAACACCCCTAACATTTGATTTTATTACACAAACATTCCCTCACGTTTTTAAAATTACACCAAAACCCCACAAAATTAACGTCGTTAACATCACAAACAAAAAGATCATTTTACCCTCACATTTACTACTCATTAAGACCCAAGACCCCTCCCCAAAAAGCTGACCCTCCCCCCCCCCAAACACACAATTCTCTCTATCTCACGACGAATCAAAGTCCCCAACATCTCTCTTATGACGTATCAAACCCCCCTAACAATCGATGTCAACTCTTAGCGGCACAACAACCACCACCTATTTTCACCGGCACCCACCACCATTGGGTTTCAAAATCCACCCGCCACAGTCAATTTTCACCATCACCCAACGGCGCAAAACAAACGAATCTTTTTCCCATGGTTTGTAATCTCCATCTCTTTCTCTCCTATCTCTTTGTGATCAATACCCCAGGTGGTAGAACCAATGGTAATGGGTGAATTTTGCAAGTGGTGGTTGAAAGTGGATTTTGAAACTCTAACCTCTACAATGTAGTGGTGTTGGTTGATGATGGTTTTGGTCCAGATGGTGGTGGAGACAAAAGTGGTTTCAATGGGTTGTGGTTTTAGTTTTTCCTCTTTCTCTCTCTCTTTGGTGGTGGTGGGTTTAGTTGAGTTTGAAAGTTTTTGTGAGTTTGACTAGGTTTGGAAGCTTTGGTGGGTTTAGGTGGTGGAACCAATGGTGATGGTGGGTTTAGGTGGTGGAACCAGTGATGATGGGCGATGATGGGTGGGTTTAAGTGTTGGAACCGGTGGTAATGGGTGGTTGGAGTAATAATTTATGTAATTAGATAAATAATAAATAAAAATAAAATTAATATAGTATAATTGGATAGGTAATTATTAAGATTTTTTAAAAATGATTAATTTTAAATTGTACTAATAATCCCAAATATTATTTAATAAACAAAAAAATTTAATTTATTAATGTAATAGATTAAAAAATTAAAAATTTCAATATTAAATTTTAAATTTTAATTTATATATGAAATTATAGATTAAAAAAAATAAATGAGAGGTTGAGTAAATTTGTAAGGTAAGAAAAATATTTATTTGAATTCTTAAACTTTATTTAAAGGGTATTTTTGGTATTCTAGGAATCATTGTTGATGAAATTAGTGTTTTTTTTTGATGAAATTAATATTTGATTTAATAAAGTTAAAAGTCAATTGATTAATAAAATTGAAGAGTCACCGTAAGGGTAAAATTAGTAGTTTACTATAATATATTCCATGACATCACTAATTTTGTTAGACGTCAATAACTGCAATGATTGAAGGGGTACCATGTGAAACTTATGATAAACTTCAAGGGTTTACAGTGACATTTCAAAAACCAGGGTGTTCTTGCAATTAGGTCAATCTCTAGGGGGAGTTTGTGAAATTTACCCTAACGGGTTAAATACAAATTACTCCCTCTACCTTGAGGCAGCGGCGAAGTACCCTGTCTATTTTAAAAAAATATATCATAGAGCTTGAGCATCTTGAAAATATTATAATTCATTAAAAAATCAAATAAATTTTCATGCACAATTATGTGAAAAAATTATTATATTTTTGAAATATGTATTGATTATAATGTCCCAAAATAACAACCATATTTAAGGTTAATTACAAAATAACTCATATACTTTAAAACGCAAGTAAATGACCTCCACTTAATTTTAAACTTTTGCATTAAAACTCCTTCAACCCGTAACCCGTGACCAATTTGCCAAAGTGAATACCCATCACATCAACTCATAAAAATACCAAAAGACCCTTATTATTTCATTCAATGTTCATGTAAATGGACTTCTTAACCTAAATTGGATTTTTTGTGTCAAAGTATTTCTAATTTTGAGTCGGAACATGTTTGTCGGCCATCAATGCCAAAAAGAGAGAATTTATGTAGAAGATGAGTGAGCTATTTTTCCTATGCTCCACCTTATACAATAGATTCAATAGTAATAATTAGATTGATTAAATTAACAAACAAAAAGAGGAAAGAACAGAGGAATTTGACAAAAATATTTGATTATCAGACGCATACATTAAGAACCAAGTAGGCAATTAGGCAAAGGTCTCCAAATAGTCCAATCTCATGGCAAACTTGGATTCACCGAGGTTCCTCCAATACGTAGAATATGTAATTAATGGATAATGCCTCATTACTTGGTTAGATGACATAGACAAATAAGAGTCGCCCAAATAAAATTGGTGTTGCTGGGAATCACTTGGAACAAACATAGGAAGTTGGCCACCTCGTTGTGACCTACCCTGTCGATAGTAACTTGACATGGAACCTCTCTCAGGATTTAAAGGCAGAGAGTTGCCAGTTCTTGTCCCTCTGCTCAACTGTTCATTGGTACCTGATGGGTTAAGTCCAAGTAGTCCAATTTATATATTAAAGCCCAACCCCGGTTGAGGAGCCCAACCTCATCGTGAACCCACCAAGTCCAAGACAGACTAAGCACGGTTGGACTTCTTGCTTAGCACGTCACCAAGAGGAGAACACAGGAAGTTTATCTACACCGCCTTAGGGAGCCCAAGGACGATTGGACTTCTTGCTTAGCACGTCACCAAGAGGAGAGCACGGTTGGACTTCTTGCTTAGCACGTCACCAAGAGGAGAGCACGAGAAGTTTATCTACACCGCCTTAGGGAGCCCAAGCACGGTTGGACTTCTTGCTTAGCACGTCACCAAGAAGAGAGCACAAGAAGCTTATCAACGGTCCAATCTTTGACCACGTTTCCTTCAAGAGTTCCCCAAACTCTTCCTTCCGTTGAGAATAAGTCGTGATCTCCACCGAAGATAATCTCTAAGCTGCGATAAAGAAGCCTTGAGGATATGTTATGATCTCCACAAGAATGATCTCTTATCTACTATAAAATGGCTCTAATCTGAGAGAGAAAGGGACACACCCCACCATAGGCATACAGAAGACAAACCGACTACCGGAGATTATTATTCTTTGATTCTCCATTCTCTCTCTCAAAGCTTGTATCTCCATTCTCCATACCTTTGAATCAATAAAATACCCGGCAACTGAAGCCATTGAAGAGTGGACGTAGGTCGAATTGACCGAACCACTATAAATTGTGTCTTCTTTAATTTTCTCATTGATTTCATTGCATTTATTATCTATACTTGACAAGTGGTGTGCAAAACCATTTTTGTGCATCATCAGTACCCTTCCTAAATCACTAATTGCAGTTTCATTGGCATCACTTGCCTTTGCTGACCAAGGAGAACGATCTGCTGATGACATGTACATCAGATTGAAATGATCTCTATTTGAAGCTCGCTGCATGTGACAGATGTCATGGTGCTTCCAATGTTAGTAAAGAGAATTCTTGACAGTCCTATTCAAATTCGATTGTACCAGGTCAGTGAAGGGGTTTGCCAATTATCATTCCGTTATAGTGCAAATAAACATTCAAAGCAATATCATATAGTAAGCTTAGAAAATAATGATGAAGTGGGACTGTGTTTTGCATTCAAGGTGTTCACAACAAGGCATGCTCACTTGAAACAACAAGAAGATGAGACTCAACATTTTACAATAATAATCCGCACCCACTTTCTTGCTAATTTCCCTTTTCTAGATTCAACATCTGATTGTTTTCCACATACCAAAAGAAAAAAAAACACCTCATTTCAATCCGAAAGATGGAATCCATTTGTTTATTCATAATACAATTAGAAAGCATCTTTTAGCAGACTTAGGATGAATGCAGTTGCTTCTTAAGCATAATAAAAAGGGTGAGGGGAGGGAGGTTTGTGTCCAAACTTGGGTGGGTTGAAATATTTTTGAAGACCCTGGGAATGGGAGGAATTTTAGGAATAGGAGGAGCTCTAGGGATGGGAGGATACACTTTTTTATAAATTGGAGGAGCACTTGGGGCTAGTGGCAGAGGTTTGCTCGGTGGGGATATCGATTTTGCAAGTGAAAGAGGAGATGGTGATGGGGATATGTATGTTGTTGGTGGTGGAGGAAGTGTCTTTGGAATAGGCGAAGTAGCCTTTTTGATTAAAGGAATTGGTCCAGAAGTCGGTGCTCCAGGTGGGAATGGCTTATTGTGTACTGGAATAGGTGGTGGAAGAGGGTTGTTATATATTGGTATAGGTGAAGGCGGTGGCTTATTAGTAATTGGTGGTGGTGGAAGTGTTTTTTTGTATGGTGGTGCTAGTTCAGGTGGCGGCTTATTTGTCTGGCGAATTGGTGGTGGAAGTGGTCTCTTGAATACGACATCAAATTGTTTACCACACAAAGTATTAGACCCAATTAAATACAAATTGTATAATTTAATATTTAATCCCTTCATAATACGTCTACCAAGCGAGCTCATAATGTCGGGGTTGGTGGGGAGGCAAGCGGTCGTTAGGGTGTTATTAAAGAGATTTGGTTGTAAAATTCATTTTCTATTATAAATGATTTAGACTCTATTTGATTTTTTTTTGTTTTATTCCAATAGAAAGTATAATTGTATACTAATTAACAATAGAACATTTATCAAATTTAAAATATTTGATATTCTATATTTGATTAGAGTTTTTGTGGTATAATATTTTAAACTTGAGAGATCTAAGTATTATAGGACTATAAATTTTAGAGGGTATGAGTGTAATTTATTAATGGATATACATTGACGATAGAGGTCTAAGTGTTACATGCATATAAAATTTAGGGAGTCTGTGTATAATATTTTAAATGTGAAAAGATCTGAGTCTAAATGTATACTGCACGTGTGCATTAACTGATAAAAGGTTAAATGCAAATTAGCCCCCCACCACTACCACCACCGTTGCAACTGCCGCCACTGCCATTGTCGCCGCCACCACCGTTGCCATCACCGCCGCCGCCATTTTCACCACCATCACCGCTGCCGCCATTTTCACCACCACCATCATTGCTGCCACAACCACCACCACTACCACCATCGCCATCGCCCTCATCGCCACCAGGGTTATTGCCACCTATCACAACCATCATTGTCTCCTACCACCACCACTGTCGCCCACCACCTTTTACCCCCACTACAAACCGATACTTAAATTAATTTATCTCTTATCTATGTTTGTGATTTAATTTTGGATATAAATACAAATATGTTTATTGTTTACAATTTTTTATTACTCTGTGTCTTCAGATACAGACAATAACTAGTCTTATTATATGGATGCCTTCGATCTTGCTTTCGGGTCTTCTTATTCCACATTTCTATACTATGTGATTAATAATGGTAATATTTAGCGCGACAATGAACATAATCGTTATCCAATACGTAATTAGTAGAGGATAATTTCTTCACAAAAACAACAAATTTATGAATTTCGATTATAACGTAATTGACGGTGTAATTTGGAATAAAGGAAGTTATATGGTCAAGTAGCATATCGGCAACCGATTTTTGGCCAACAAAGATTCCTAAGAAAATGTTGATTGTTGTGCATTAATTAATAATTGACTTAGCTCACTGTAAGCTCTTCAACCTATCATACGATTTTTTATTTTTTCTCTTACTAGGGGTTTGGTTGTCACAAGATTTTTTTTTTTCGATGAGTCGTGACTACAATGTTGTTTGGACACCTGCATAGTCAATTCTAACGCCCATTAATTGATTTTATGTCTAGGAAAGACATCCCAATATGTGTTATTTACTCAATTAAAAAGATAATTTACTAGATTGTTCCAAGTAAAACAAATAATTTAAATGTTAGGATTAGCTCATATTTCACCAAGGGCGACAACATTCCAAAATTTCATGAAAAATAAGGATTAATACTAAATTTACATAAGCTTGAGCAATTAACATGATAAATAATTATTTTAAAATTAATTTTTTTAAAACATTTATGGATGCAACATAATTATTTTTAAATAGTTATTACATTTTGTCTTCTCGGGCACAAAAAAAATAAATAATCAAAATAAAAAACTATAATTTAAAATTATTCACGTATAATACACGTGTGTATTAACTAGTAAAAAAGTTAAATGCAAATTAGTCCTTATATTTGACCGTGTGAGTTCTAGTTGTTCATTTATTAATGGTAATACCAGGGGCCGAGCCAAAAAATATTTTAGGGTAAGTATATTAATAATTTTTTTTAAGCAATGTTATAAGGACTTAATTTAATGCAGTCATTAAATTAGTTATAAGTTCCAATGTTAGATGTAGTTCACTTTCAATCCAAGGGTTGCATTGAATTAGATCATTAAATTAGGTCTAAATACCTTTTTCATTTTTTTTTTCAATTGACCAAAAAAGTTCATAATTTTATATTTATCGTAATTATATATAAAAATTCATTAAACATAAAAAGGTTACAAAATATTTTAATGGCGTGAACAACAAAAAATAAAATAAATTTAATTAAAATCTTCGTATGAAACTAATTATTGTTATTTACGATTGGATCTAATTAGTGTTTATCATTTAAAAGCTTTATAAATCAATAATATCAATAAATAATTTTTTCTATATACAAAATGGTGATAATAAATCTTTCATTTATTACCTTATAATTTATTACATAATGATGTTCATTTTTATACAATAACACAATTTATAAAATAAAGCAGAAGTGTGTTTGAATTTTATTCCTGTCATATTTTTCCTCTAAAAACCATCATCAATCACTTATCTCACTCATCATTTATTTGTCAGACTCAAACGTCAAATCATATCATTCATTTTTATCACATATTTAATCATTTATATATTTCTCCATAAAAATATCACACCACTCATTTCTATTATATATCTAATCATTTAATAGTTCATTAATTTTTAGTTAATATATTTTGAAAAAACTTAATACAGTGGGTTCGATTTTTTGAACGCTCGAATTTTATATTTTATCGTGTCTTCAGACACGTGTTATGACTAGTAATCTTATAATTTAGAAAAGTGACTCCGATATGTCTAAAACTTATTTGGATATGTCTGAAATGTGTCTAAAAGTGTAAGAATAATAGTAGTTATACCTAATTCGAGTTGATAGGTTCGTTAAATATATAAACTCACTATTATGCTTAATATTATAATGCATTAGGTTCCAATAACGGTGAGAAGGAAAAAAAAAGTCCCACTAGCATTGCTTGAAAAATAATAATTATTTAAGTAGAAGCCTATCCTAATTGATATTATAACATAATAATAAGGTGCGTACAATTTAATATGTTTAAATTTTATTTTTTAAAATATAAATCTAATGTAAAAAAAAAAATATTTGAAGGTGCGCACATGTCATGGGTGGTTTCGTCTTAAGGTGGTGATATTATGTGACGATAATGATGTAATATCATCGTCGTTATATTAAATATTATATTAATTATTTTTGTTAAAATTAAGGCATTATTGCACTTTTGTTGAAATAAGATTTGTCTTTGCTATGATTAAATCAAGAATTTTATGTTGAATATATGCTTGTGTAATCTAAACTACTTGGTGTATTTAACTACACTCTAATTGTGGAGATTATTTATTATAATAATAATAATATTTAGACTTAATTATTATAATTGTTAAATTAATAACAAATCTCAACAAATATTGGGATTTACGGTACTGATATCCAAGGAACATTGCTCAACAAGAATTTAGGAGGAGCAACATTGTTTGTCACATGTACAAATGTAATAATGATAAACTTCTGGGGAACCCACTGTAATTAACCCATAAAAGCATAAAAAAATATACACGCACTGCACACCAATCGCGTGTGCCCGGGTTACAAGTGAATCGAAGTTGAGATTATTTTCCAAATCTCTATTCAAGAACAGACGGTTCGGAGCGAGTGAGAGAACAAGCGAGTGAAGGTGAGAAATTCTCCAAATCCAAACCCTAATCAGCAGAATTGGGGAAAAACAGTCCCACACGCTCAACCCCTCGCGTGGATTTTTTGCAGTTGCAGATCGAAAGAAAGAAGGAAGATAGAGTGGGAGTTTATAAGCACGCTCTTCCTTCAATTGATCAGAGGTACCACAAAAACCTCTTCAAAACTCTCCTCTCTCTCTATCTCTCACCCTGTCATTCCCTTCTGATTCTTTGTTGGAGATTGAGCAATCTTTTTCTTTGTTTTTGTCTGTGGAGGCTGAATAATTCAGTTGGTTTCTTTCTCTATAACTTCTGCAAGCAGACCTGCAGTATTCACATAAATAAAGAATGTTGTCTCTGCTTATATGTTTAATCAAGAATTGTGATGTGATCTGGGTTTTTAATTTCTTTCAGTTTTCCTCTCTTTAAAAACTCCAATTTTGATTACCCAGAAAATTACAATGAGGAATTAAATGGAATGGAGATGTATGCATTACTCAGATTCATATCTGGTTTGGATTAACTAACATATTACGTTGAAAATTGTGGGTTTAATCGCTTGAATGTTGATTTGTGTTTTTGGGTTAAGTGGTGACTATCTTTGACTTTTAGCACAAGGTTCACAGTCAGTCCCTTCCAAGTTAAAAGCTAAATGAAATGGTGACAAAAAAAGAAGAAACCTCTGTGATAAAGGGCCATTATGCAGTTTGGCATTGTCTATCCAAGTGGTGAATGTCACTTTTGGCGACTTGGACAAACAAGATTCGGATTACCTTAACAAATTGCCCCATTGTTGTGCATGAAAAAAAATGGGTAGATTGGGTACTTTTAAGTTTTAACCTTGGTTTATTTGCACAAGATTGCCCGTTGATGAAGAATCCCACGGTTGTTAAGCCAACTTTTTTAACAATGCACCCGGTAAAGTGCCTTTTATGATAGTAAATTCAATCTAAATACCATAGAGGATTAGAATTACCACTTGAATTTTAACATTTATAATTTTCATCCTAGTTATACTCAAACAAATTGACAAACAACAATTGTATCCTATTATTTATCATTCTAGGTTTCGTCTATTGTGATTTGTGGAATGTGGATGAGAAACAGAACTTCCAAGCTATTCAAAATCCTTTTTATACAACATCTTAATCAACTTATGCTTGCTCAGTTAAGCATAACATTGGCTTTGAGCCTAGTCTAAATAAACTTGGGGTTCAAGTTGGCATTCTGCAATTGATTGTATGTATTTTGTTCCTGTGTACAGTTGAGCTTGCACATTTCCTATAAAACCAAGTATGTTGCATACTTGTATTATTCTAATTTTCCTTATCAATCACTTGTAACATCTGAATTTATTACAACCCGGTTGAAGTTCTATCAGGATAGAGTTATGTTTTATTAAAATACGGAACTCCCATACAAATGTAGTGGAGAAGCTTTCAAAAGACCAGTATTGTGCATAAATATGAGACATAGTTTTTTAAAATGTGTTGGTTTAGATAGTCTGGCAGAAGATGGTTGAAGTTTAAGAGGATGGCAAATATGAATTTTTCAAAACAGACGCATCTGTGATTGAGGTTGAACAGCGACCTGCTTGATTGTAGAAGGGAAAAAATCCAAAGAAATGTTTATCTTTAATTTTTCAGAATATGTCTTTATTATTTATATGACTTAGCAGGTGTTAATCTCTTCATATGGGAGTTAGTATAAATAATATAAGGTAGAGAACTATAATTGGTCTTTCTTTAGCCACATACTTTGTCTTCCTTTTGGCTTTTCTTCTCTTTTCTCTACTTCTACCTCTTCCTCCCGGTTATCTGCTTGTATTAGGAATTCGACATGGTATCAGATCTCGGCTAGAGATTCTCAATGTGAAGTTCACAAGAAGAGTGTGCTCACCGAGTTAGCAAACAAAGAAATCCTTCCATCATGGTCACTTAGAAGGGCAGATTACACCTGTTAAGTCTGAGATTTATCTGAGAATCGTTTATTTATTTTCCCTCGTTGCTTGAAATATCAATAGAAAATATTGCAAGAAATAGATTTCATTTTGGTACTCTTATATTATATATTATGATATCTTGTCAGGGAATAAAAGAAGATGTCTGTAGCTATTTTTAATTCTCATTGTAGTTTTCAGGTAACCACAGGAAAGAACTAATCAAGAGTAAATAGGTTATTGCCATGGATATAGATCTTAGGTTACCTTCTGGAGAACATGAGAAAGAAGAAGAAGCAAATGGAATTGTCAATATGTTGGATGATGAAGAGAAACTGCATAATGGACATGGAATGAGTGCAAATATGGATATTGTAGAGAAGTTACATACTGAAGATGGAGGGTGTTTGAATTCTCCTGCAGGAGATATGGTAGAATTTAAAGAGGATATGAATCTTGAGCCGCTTGCTGGTATGGAATTTGAATCACATGGGGAAGCATATTCTTTCTATCAAGAGTATGCAAGGTCTATGGGATTCAATACTGCAATACAGAATAGCCGCCGTTCGAAGACGTCAAGAGAATTCATTGACGCAAAATTTGCGTGTTCTAGGTATGGCACCAAGCGTGAGTATGAGAAACCCTGTAATAAGCCACGTTGTAGACAAGCAAACAAGCAAGATCCAGAGAATGCAACTGGTCGACGAGCATGTGCGAAGACAGATTGCAAAGCAAGCATGCATGTCAAGAGAAGACCAGATGGAAAATGGATTATACATAGATTTGAGAAAGAGCATAACCATGAACTTTTACCTGCCCAAGCTGTCAGTGAGCAAACAAGAAAGATGTATGCTGCAATGGCAAGACAATTTGCTGAGTACAAAAATGTGGTTGGCCTCAAGAATGACACCAAAAATCCATTTGAGAAAGGCCGTAATTTGGCTCTGGAAGCTGGAGAGGCAAACATTTTACTTGAGTTCTTCACGCAGATGCAAAGTATGAATTCCAACTTCTTTTATGCAATAGATTTAAGTGAGGATCAGCGACTAAAGAATTTGTTCTGGGTTGATGCCAAAAGTAGGCATGATTACATCAACTTCAGTGATGTTGTGTCTTTTGATACTACCTATGTTAGAAACAAGTACAGATTGCCTCTTGCCCTTTTTATTGGGGTTAATCAACACTATCAGTTCATGTTGCTTGGATGTGCTTTGGTGTCTGATGAAAGTGCAGCCACACATTCTTGGGTAATGCGATCATGGTTGAAAGCAATGGGTGGACATGCTCCAAAAGTAATAATCACTGACCAAGACACAGCCCTAAAGCCAATTATTTCAGAGCTTTTTCCATCTGCTCACCATTGCTTTTGTTTGTGGCAAATACTGGGAAAGGTTTCTGAAAATCTTAATCATGTAATTAAACAGAATGAAAACTTCATGCTTAAATTGGAAAAATGCATTTACAGGTCATGGACAGATGAGGAATTTGAAAAGAGGTGGCGGAAATTGATTGAGAGATTTGACCTCAAAGATAATGAATGGGTTCAAGCCTTGTATGAAGATCGTACAAAGTGGGTGCCAACCTACATGAGAAATGCTTTTTTAGCTGGAATGGCAACAGTTCAGCGGTCTGAGAGTGTGAACTCTTTCTTTGATAAATACGTGCATAAGAAGACCACTGTGCAGGAGTTTGTGAGACAGTACGAAGCGATTCTACATGATAGGTATGAAGAGGAAGCCAAGGCAGATTCTGATACATGGAACAAGCAGCCTGCATTGAAGTCGCCATCGCCATTTGAGAAGCATGTGTCGGGGCTGTACACATATGCAGTCTTTAAGAAATTCCAAGTTGAGGTCTTGGGTGCAGTTGCTTGTATTCCTAGGAGAGAGAGACAAGATGAGATGGCTGTAACATTTAGAGTACAAGACTTTGAAAAGAATCAAGAGTTTACTGTTACTTTGAATGAATTAAAATCAGAAGTATCTTGTATATGCCATTTGTTTGAATACAGAGGTTTTCTCTGTAGACACGCAATGATTGTTCTTCAAATTTGCGGAATTTCCACCATCCCATCGCAATATATTTTAAAACGGTGGATGAAAGATGCCAAGAGCAGGTATTCAATGGGAGAAGTTTCTGAACTGGTGCAGTCTAGGGTGCAGCGATACAATGATCTATGTCAACGTGCAATGAAATTGGGTGAAGAAGGATCATTATCACAAGATAGTTACAATTATGTACTTCGTTCGCTAGATGATGCTTTTGTGACTTGTGTGAGTGTGAACAACTCTAGTAAGAATCTTATAGAAGCTGGCACATCTGCCACACCTGGTCTTCTCTGCGTTGAAGAAGATAACCAAAGCAGAAGCTTGAGCAAAACAAATAAAAAGAAGAATCCAACCAAGAAAAGAAAGGTTAGTGTGAATGGTGATTTGTCCTGATGACATCTTTTTGAAATTTTAATCATATTATGCAATAATGTCTTCACATTGCAGGTAAACTCGGAGCCAGATGTTATGAATGTCGGGGCTCCAGACACCTTGCAACAAATGGTATGCCCTGCTTGAAATCTAAATAGTTGCCTCCCCAATTATAAATCATATGTTGTGAGAATGACTTCTTTAAATGTGTGTGTTTTGGTTGGATCTGAATGGGATGTTATGAATTAGTAAATTGGTAACATTAGCCAGTAAACAAAGCTTTTTAATATCTTTTTACCTTTTGAAGTTTAAATTCTTTTACGCCTGATATTTTACTTGTGTAGGACAAATTGAGTTCAAGACCTGTCACCCTTGATGGGTATTTTGGACCGCAACAGAATGTACAAGGAATGGTACGAAGTGCTTCAGTCTGGTAATTTTTTCCCAATACCTAAGTTTTATGTAGCATTAGTTAAAATTGGTGGGGTGTGTTTTTTGCAGGTACAGTTAAATTTAATGGCGCCCACACGTGACAGCTACTATGGGAATCAACAGACCATTCAGGGGCTGGTTGGTTATATCATGACTATGATTTTAAGAAACATGGCAGTTGTTTATGCTTTTGCAATTAAAATAAATCCAATAGTGATCTCTAAATTTGGTTCTCTTCTGTAGGGACAACTAAACTCCATAGCACCTAGTCATGATGGCTATTATGGCAGTCAGCCATCCATGCATGGGCTGGTATATTAACCTTTAGTCCTGAGTCTCCTGAACCGTATTTTTGGTAAATCAAAATATAATTGCAATGTGTTCACAATTTTGGTGTCATTCTTGCAGGGACAAATGGATTTTTTTCGAACACCAAGTTTCACATATGGCATTCGGGTTAGTTAGCTAGATGACTTGATCATCAGTGACGAATTAAACAAAAAATACATATATTATGTCTTATTTTTATATAAAGGTATCTTTGAAATGCTCTCTCTCATGGCAGGAGGAACCCAATGTCAGATCTGCCCAATTGCATGATGATGCGTCGAGACATCCGTGAAGAGCACCTTCCACACATCCAAGTGTCAAAAGACACTAGTTTACTTTGCAGACGATATGAAATATTGTCAAATTCGAAACCTCTTCTGAGAATGATAGCATTAAGCATTGTGGCTGGAAGGATTGCCGCGTGGGAGAAGCCTCCTCGGTATCTGTAAACTGTGAAATGTTCGAAAGCAGTTGTAATTATCTTCACCCTGTATTTGATGTAACTGGTTAAGTGCCAGACATATCTATGGTTCCTTCTTGTAAATGTGGTTGTATTATTATTACATTTGTGTTCAATTCAGCTTACCATTTAAAGTGAGGAAGAGACACTTGTTTCAACATATCACCAGTGAGTGATATGACTTTGCTGTTCTCAATCTGTAATGATTTGAGAAACAGACTGTAGAAATAATTTAAATCCAATGCTCTGTTGATTAAACTATCCAGCCTGGCTCATGGACCTTCTCAGAATCTCTGGCCTTTGTTTTTGTTGGTTCTTTCCCCCCACCCCAAAACCACCACCACCCAAACACCATCAAGTATGTAATGAGAAAGACAAAGTTGAAAGGCACCCATTTTGATTGCAGAAATGCTTTATAATTTGTTCCCAAGTCACCCATTTTGGTGCATTTTTGGCTGTGTTTTTGCATGAGATCCAAGACTAGTGCCCCCCTCAATTTTTTTTTTTATTATTACTTAGGTATGTATATTATATATTTGTATAATACATTATTTGTGTCCACCCAAAATCAAAAATAAAAATATTAATATACACTTATATCAAATGAATAATTTTAATTATGTCCTCTCTATTTTTTTTTGGCACATCAATTAGTATATATTTATATCAAATGAATATGAATTTTTTGACACATTTTGGGTTGTTTGTGTACCTATTTAGGTAAATTTTGAATATACTAAAATTATTTTATACTTTCTAAGACTAAAAAAAAATGATATACATATTCGCTAATTTATTTGTGATTTTAGTATTTATTTTTGCTAATTATGGTAAAAATTAAAAAGTGCACATTAAACTGCATAATCGATCAAATAATTTATAAATACTAAAGTGATAATATGATAATGTATCTAAAGAATAATAAAATTGTTATACAACGTTTTAAAAGTACAAAAATTCACCGAAATTAATTCTAAATAATTTTAATTAGTTAATATTTCATAAAAAAAAAATGTTATCGTTTGTATATATTAGACTTATCAAATTTCGGTATATATTTTCACAAACATGTTTCGGTATTCTCATTTTGGGAGTCCTTTGATGTCACGTTCCCACACTATGGGTGTAAGTCACTGACCTTTACCATAGTCATGGTGCTTGTTTGGCCGGGTTTAGTGTTGTTTCAATTACTTGATTTAGCAATGCAAAGTGTTTGATAAAATGTCTAAAAAAACATATTGAAAAAGAAAAAGCTAAAATATGCTAGCTTTTGGGTGCCTAATGTTCTAGGGTTTGGAAATAGAACATAACACTAATTAATGTTCAACATTTTGTTTTAAAATCATCAAAAACGTATTTGTTTTCAAAAAAACTAAAACAAATCAGTAATAGAATCAACATTATAATATTTCAAGGTATTATATAATGTTTCGAAATGTTTTATAATATTTTTATGTATTTGTATAATTATTTTAGAATGTTTCAAAATAAATATTTTTAAAAAATAATTCTTAATTTTTTTTTCTTATATTTCTAAAACAGATCAAAATATTTTCAAAATACGTTAAAATATTTTTTATTTTTTAAACCACTGAAATATTACATCGAAATAAAATTTTTATCCTTGGCATTAATAAATTGGATCGGAAGCAATTGACATTGGTCTTTGTTTAATCCTTGAGAACCATTTTCCCTCGGTCCCACCCAAAAAAAAAAAGGAAACGTAATCGGGCCGGGTATCAGAAGATCCTCTCTCTCTCTGCNGTTGTTTGTGTACCTATTTAGGTAAATTTTGAATATACTAAAATTATTTTATACTTTCTAAGACTAAAAAAAAATGATATACATATTCGCTAATTTATTTGTGATTTTAGTATTTATTTTTGCTAATTATGGTAAAAATTAAAAAGTGCACATTAAACTGCATAATCGATCAAATAATTTATAAATACTAAAGTGATAATATGATAATGTATCTAAAGAATAATAAAATTGTTATACAACGTTTTAAAAGTACAAAAATTCACCGAAATTAATTCTAAATAATTTTAATTAGTTAATATTTCATAAAAAAAAAATGTTATCGTTTGTATATATTAGACTTATCAAATTTCGGTATATATTTTCACAAACATGTTTCGGTATTCTCATTTTGGGAGTCCTTTGATGTCACGTTCCCACACTATGGGTGTAAGTCACTGACCTTTACCATAGTCATGGTGCTTGTTTGGCCGGGTTTAGTGTTGTTTCAATTACTTGATTTAGCAATGCAAAGTGTTTGATAAAATGTCTAAAAAAACATATTGAAAAAGAAAAAGCTAAAATATGCTAGCTTTTGGGTGCCTAATGTTCTAGGGTTTGGAAATAGAACATAACACTAATTAATGTTCAACATTTTGTTTTAAAATCATCAAAAACGTATTTGTTTTCAAAAAAACTAAAACAAATCAGTAATAGAATCAACATTATAATATTTCAAGGTATTATATAATGTTTCGAAATGTTTTATAATATTTTTATGTATTTGTATAATTATTTTAGAATGTTTCAAAATAAATATTTTTAAAAAATAATTCTTAATTTTTTTTTCTTATATTTCTAAAACAGATCAAAATATTTTCAAAATACGTTAAAATATTTTTTATTTTTTAAACCACTGAAATATTACATCGAAATAAAATTTTTATCCTTGGCATTAATAAATTGGATCGGAAGCAATTGACATTGGTCTTTGTTTAATCCTTGAGAACCATTTTCCCTCGGTCCCACCCAAAAAAAAAAAGGAAACGTAATCGGGCCGGGTATCAGAAGATCCTCTCTCTCTCTGCGGCTTCGTCTCCTGCTTCCACGCCACAAATCCCTGTGTATAACCCTGAATAACCAAAACTTACGATCTTATGAAGCTGCTGCTATCCCATTGGTACTTATTCTTCCTTCTCCTTCCTTCGCTTTCATATTTTCTCATGCAATTTCAAATGCTCCACAATTTCTTCTCTTTTTTCATCTGATGATTTACATCCCTTTTCCGTCTAAAGTATAATTGTGTTGGTAATAATTGTGCTTCAGTTGTTACGAATAATTTAACAGTACTGCATTTCTGATAGCACAAAGTGTCGTGCAAATGAAGGTAATTGCTTATTTTTTAGCCGTTAGATGTGTAGAATTAGAATTGAGCCTCGGAAAAGTGTTGTATAATCATGTTTGTATCTATTTGGGAACGAGAGAATACCAAATGGATCTGATTAACAGAGGAGTTTGGTGTGTACTTGTGCTGTGAATATATTTGACCTTTCCATTTGACACTTACTTTCTTCTGCCCTATGTGTCTGAGTTTTTTTACTAATTCCATCTGCACCCCCTGTTTCAGCAAGTACTGGATTGTAAATGACTATAACTAAGGGTCTGGTTTACGTCTTGAGAATAGATACTTAACAAGCATTTCAGAAGCATGATTAGGAAGAAAAGGAACTGAAATGTGATTTATCATATGGTGGACTGCCGAGACACCATGCACGGTGGTGATGAAGTGAGTGGGGACATGGTCACTGTTGTCAATGAGGCATTTGATAGAGATGGGAGGGGTTGTACTTCTCCTAAAAGAGACATTGTAGCTATTGAAGGGGATACTGATTTTGAGCCACATGACGGTATTGAATTTGAATCACATGAGGCTGCATATTCATTTTATCAAGAGTATGCTAAGTCTATGGGGTTCACTACCTCAATAAAAAACAGCCGTCGTTCAAAGAAATCGAAAGAATTTATTGATGCTAAGTTTGCATGCTCCAGATATGGAGTCACACCAGAATCAGATAGTGGCAGCAGTCGACGTCCAAGTGTTAAGAAAACTGACTGCAAAGCCAGCATGCATGTGAAGAGAAAGCAAGACGGAAAGTGGTACATTCACGAATTTCTGAAGGAGCATAACCATGAGCTTTTACCAGCACTAGCATATCATTTTCGGATTCATAGGAATGTAAAATTAGCAGAAAAGAATAATATTGACATTCTGCATGCTGTAAGTGAACGAACAAGAAAGATGTATGTTGAGATGTCCAGACAATCTGGTGGCAATCGAAGTGTTAGCTTTCTTAGGAATGACTTGAATTATCAGTTTGATAGAGGGAGGTACTTGACTCTAGAGGAGGGAGATGCTCAAGTTATGCTCGAGTATTTCATGCATGTCCAGAAAGAGAATCCATATTTCTTCTATGCGCTTGATTTGAATGAAGACCAGCGTCTAAGAAATTTGTTCTGGGTTGATGCCAAAAGTAGGAATGATTACACGAGCTTTAGCGATGTCATTTCTTTTGATACCAGTTATATTAAAAGCAATGACAAAATGCCATTTGCTCTTTTTGTGGGGGTGAACCATCATTTTCAGCCCATGTTGCTTGGATGTGCATTGGTTGCTGATGAGACTAAAGCAACACAAGTTTGGTTAATGAAGACATGGCTTAGAGCAATGGGTAGGCAAGCGCCTAAAGTGATAATCACTGATCAAGACAAAGCCTTGAAAGCCGCTGTTGAAGAAGTATTCCCAAATGCACGTCATTGCTTTTCTCTTTGGCATATATTGGAGAGGATCCCTGAAACTCTTGCTCATGTAATCAAACAACATGATAATTTCATAGGTAAATTCAACAAGTGCATTTTTAAGTCATTGACGGATGAACAATTCGACATGAGATGGTGGAAGATGGTCAGTAGATTTGAACTTCAAGAGAATGAATGGATTCATTCACTGTATGAAGATCGTAAAAGGTGGGTGCCTACTTATATGAGGGATACTTTTGTGTCTGGGATGTCAACAACTCAGCGTTCTGAAAGTATAAACTCTTTCTTTGACAAATACATCCATAAGAAAATTACTTTGAAAGAGTTTCTTAGACAATATGGAACAATTCTCCAAAGTAGGTATGAGGAGGAAGCCATTGCAGACTTTGATACGTGGCACAAACAGCCTGCATTAAAATCTCCCTCACCTTGGGAAAAACAAATGTCAACTGTTTATACACATGCAATCTTCAAGAAATTCCAAGTTGAGGTTTTGGGCGTAGTGGGGTGCCATCCTAAAAAGGAAAGTGAAGATGGACCAAATATAACATTTAGAGTTGATGACTGTGAGAAAGGTGAAAACTTTGTCGTCACATGGAACGAGGCAAAGTCAGATGTTTTTTGTTCATGTCTTCTATTTGAATACAAAGGTTTTCTTTGTAGACATGCGATGATTGTTCTCCAAATGTGTGGTCTTTCAAGCATCCCATCTCAGTATATTTTGAAGAGGTGGACAAAAGATGCAAAGAGCAAGCAATCGACAGTAGAAGGAACAGCGCGAATACAAACTAGGGTTCAAAGATACAATGATTTATGCACACGTGCCATTAAATTGGGTGAGGAAGGATCTTTATCAGAGGAGAGTCACAATATTGCATTTCGTGCAATAGTTGAAGCTCTGAAGAATTGTGTGAATATCAACAATAGAAGTGCTTCAGAATCTAACAACAATGCTCTTTGTCTTCGTGACTTGGAAGAAGAGAATCAGGCAGTTCTTGCTATTAAAACAAGTAAGAAGAAGAGCGCAAGCAAGAAAAGAAAGGTTAGTGGTGCAATTAGTTGTTGGTGTTGACAAATTAGTTTTCTTACTTACTGTGCTGTTTAACTGGTTTCAGGTACAATCCGATCCAGAAGCTTTGATCGTTGAGACTCAGGACAGCTTGCAGCAAATGGTTTGTTCTACTGCCAATCCTAGTTAAGTTTCTATTGGAATGTTTTGTGATGGTGAAGTGCTTTTAACTATAACATAAGGATGGCATTTCAATAGCCACCGAGTTACACTCATTTTGTATTTCATGTTTCTGACTGTGTCTTTAAATTAGTGAAAGCCTGCGGGAAATGATGTTATACTTAGTTCTGACAATTAAGGATTGAGAAAGGTTTAAACTACAGCTGTAGTGTTTAGAAATCATATCCCAGTTTCGATTTTCTTGCATATAGGGGAATCTCAGCTCAGATGGAATGACACTCAATGGCTATTATGGGACTCAGCAGAATGTGCAGGGCTTGGTATGGTGTTTTATATTTCTGGACAATTGTGTATTTGCCAAAAATCTTAGTTTTATTGTGAATCGTATATTCGTATTAGCATTCCTAATTGGTGTTAGTTATCAATACAGTTGAACTTGATGGAGCCACCCCATGATGGTTATTATGTCAGTCAACAAAGTATGCAGGGGCTGGTACGTGATATTAAACATTTTTTGCCCAATTTTTTTTGTTTATAATGGATAACTGTTGAATGTATTTTTGGTCAAATTGGATTTGCAGGGACAATTAAACTCAATAGCAACTAGTCATGATGGTTTTTTTGGGGCTCAACATATGCATGGACTGGTATAGTATTTGATTATCTATTTCAAAATGTACTTTCAGAGAGATTTGGTATATCTAATAGTCTAGATGATGAAATTTCTGAAATATTACTTCCAATTTATGTAGGGGCATTTGGATTTTAGACCACCGGGTTTCAGTTACAGCTTGCAGGTCTGTGAGAGATACGGCAATTATATTGTTAGATTGGACGAATGACACTTTTTCTTGCACGGACTTCTTATTTCAATCTTTTTGCCCTAATTTTAGGATGAGTCTAATTTGAGACCTAGTCAGTTGCACGACAACACTGCTAGACATGCATGAGGAAGAAAGAGGTCTCCAGAATGCAGTAATATCCGTAGTCACTTTTTGAAGGTGGTTTACATTTTGCCTTGGGCAAAATGCTATTAAACAGAAAAGGAGATTAAGAAAGTGTTTCTGCGATCTCCCGGTGCTAGTTTTTTGGAGGACTAACAGAATAGTACTCTGTTTACATTTTACACCAAACTTGTTACTTGTCTAAACGGATGGAAAAAATTTAACTGGAATTTTTCTTCTTGTTCTGGAGAGTTTTCCAGGTATATGCTGGCTATATGCTCCTTGTTTATCTGAAGCCACACATCTGCAGTTGTGATTGCTACACAGCAGGAGATTTCTGGATTTTCTATGGGAATACGGTCAGTGATCTGCGAAAACTAATTCTAAACTATTGTAAATATCAGGATTGACGAGGTAAATGAGAAGATGTATTCAGTACTATTTATGATGATGTTAGAGCTAAAGCAAGCCCTTCTTTTCATTGCAAGCTTCTTCAAAACTTGGTAAAGAATCCTAAATAGCAGATTTTGAAATCCCTATGGTGTAATGGGGGGCAGAGTTCTTATTTTATTAATCTTTCATTGGCATGTTGAATATTCCGAAATAAGTACTCTAGAAATGTTGTGTTGTGGTGTAAAGAGCCTCTGGAAGACCTCATCATTTGTTTATATTCTGCAGAGTCCATATTTGTCCTGTTTGTAGGCAAGGAAAAGTTCCTTGAGCATTTGTTATTTTTCTGCCCTTTTACTTGGCAAAATTCCCCCTGGTGGGAGTGGATGATGAACAATGCTACACTTTCCAAAACTCTTCATCAACTTTACTATACCAAATCAATGTGGGTAGTTGGTTTGGTGAGTCTCATTAACTTTCACCATCAACTAAGGCTGTCAATATGCAACATAATTAAATATATATTTGAACAGACTTTAGAAACCGTTTGAAAAGAGAACTGTAGCCCCCCTCTCCTCCCATACACACACCAAAAAAAAGGGGAGGGGGAGGAATATGCCTCGGTCAAATCAAACTTCCTATGATTTATTTACTCCGTTCATTGCACCATCTTTTAAAGATCCATTAATTGATTACTCCATTAATACCCATCTTTTGTTGGTTACTAAATGAGAGTTCTCGGGGGTCGATTATTCTCTTGGATTTGCTATTGATGGTCACCTTGCGAACACTCATGCCTGATCGTGGACTTTCTATTGAACATCCAATGTTGCCTTGCTATGACGTGAGCTAGTCATCTAGATGTAGGCTAATCGATAAAGATAGATGTACTTCTGCCCCTGTTTTCCTATCTTTCCTTCTTTGTTTGTCACCTAGTATTCGTTGTTAACATTGTAAGGAGACAATAACTGACAGAGGGTGTCATTGAATTTAGACACAATTATAGGGGGTGTTGTTGAAAATTTTCCTATAATATTTGTTCACTAGAGTCTCTAGGAAGTTAAGAAAGTATTGAACGTAACTGGCCCAGCACAAGATAATTTGTTAAAACATCCGAGGAATTTAATAAGATTGACATAAACCCATGTTGGTTTCTAACATTAAAACAGATTCAAATATAACAAAATGATGGGATATAAAACATGAATAAGGCCATTCGATAAAATATATTTTTGGTCCCCAAATTATATATTTTGTGTCAATTTAGTCCCCAATCTTTTAATTTTATCAATTAATCACTCAATTTTTTTAATTTATGCCATTTTGGTCCAATCAAAAAGGCAGTTGGAATTACTAATAGAGATCATCACGTGAATCTCACACGATCACACTTGATGCGCATTCTTTGAAAACTTTAGGGCTAAAGTGATACAATCTATAAACTTGATGCATTAAAATGATACAAGTTATAAATTTGAGGAACCAAAGTGACCCTTCAAGTGTGGTCAATTAAACATCTCTGTTAGTCAATTCAACCAGCCATTTTTTATTGGACCAAAATGACATAAATTGAGAAGTTGAGGGACTAAATTGATACAATTAAAAAATTGAGAACTAAACTAATAAAAAATACATAATTTGGGGACCAAAAGTATATTTTACTCTAAAATTTATAGCACCACGTGTAATTTACATCAAATCCAATACAATGAATGCCTCTTATACGCCGCAACAAGACCATCACCCACCCTCGCCGTTACTTTCCTAATTCTAACACTTTTCTAATTCAAATGGTCTAGCCTACATTAATAATTTTACATATAATCTCTTTTAATATTTTATGAAGATAATAATATTTTTTTAATGATAATCCTTTTCGTAACATATTCTTTGTTAACAACCACTGGATCCTTATATCTAACCAGAAACGCTTCGGATTACCTGTCAACAAATTTATTTCTACATAAGCACGAGTCACACCGGGTCTAGACAACTGAAGCGTAAGAGTATAAATAACTAGAATCTTTCCAATAGGACTTAGAATGTCCCTTAAACTTTCTCAATTAAACAGATGAATAGGCAATCCAGGCAAAAAAATCCACCAGGAATTACTGGGGTTCAATTCCTAAAAAAAATTTTGAAAACCACTTAAAAGAATCAAAACAAATACCCCTCAATGTATCTTTAAGCCAGATTTTAACATAATCCTTACACAGACTGAACCGAATGACAAAATGTGTTAGACAAAAAATACCCACCGAATCTTGATGTAATAAATTCTTTAATCACTCCCGATGTTTTGCCATAAGCATATTTCCTTATCAATGTTTGATGAAAGCCCTTCAACAAATCTTTAGTCTCCGCCGGAGTTCAATACATGCCTGGCTCACCATTATTGTACACCACGCCCTTCGCAGGTCTAGGTTGCACACTAGGAATCCCATGAGGCATACTTGAGAATTTCTCATCTTCTTGCACCAATAAAGAAGTAAATCGAACGAAATCAAACACTCTCAAAGAAAAGTTTTTAGAGAGAAGTTACATTATAAAATCAGTTTTTAGTGGTTTTGCGATCGGGTGGAATCAAATAATAAATTGGGTGTAATTGTGAAACCATAATCTTACAGATAAATAAATTGAATAAAATTTTTTAAAAACAACAAAAGAGCTAGAGCAAGATAATGTGGGAGGGAGAGAAAGAGTTGGATGGAGGTCATGAGAGTGGAATTAAAAATAGTGAAAATAATTTGAAAGAGGTTGCTACTTTAAAAGCTAGAAGTTGTTACTTTTAGATTTTTTTAGAAGGTTTTGTTATATTTTAAAACTTTCTATAAAACCTTACATAAATTTCTGAAAATATTGTTACATTTTAGCCTTTTTTATAAGATTTTAGATAGATTTGTAAAATATATAGGTCCTTTAACTTAGTCCATTCAAAAGCACCTCAGAACATGAAGCTGAACTAATGATTAAAAATTAAATTGAGGACTTAAATTTTTCGGGCTATAGGTGACTATTTTGATAGTGGGGCTCTAGAGTTAGCCCTGTTGTACCTCCTCTCATCTACAGGATTGAAGTATCTTTGCATCTCGCAACAATTGTAGTTTATGTTCGTCTCTTACTATCGAGTATTTGTTCATAGAACCGATTAAGTGAAATAAATTTATTACTGGATGACACGCAATGATTAAATGTAATATATTTATTATTCTACATTTTATGCATTTTTTTAATTTCTCAAAAATAATTTATGGATCGTTTTACGGTATTGTTATAGTAAAGACATTTAATGTTATAACATGGTGCTGCATAATTTTATTTTTTTAGTAATTTAGTCATCTAATATATATTAAATATTATATATGTGTTGTTTCATATCTATTCTACCTGCTTGCAGCAGTTTAATAATATAATGTATAAGAATTGTAAATATACATAAATTATCATGGCTAAGGTACACATTGTACCTTTCCGGCTCAGCCTTCGAGCCGGCCATGATTCAAAACTCCCCTCTCTAGTCCGAGTGTCATTAATCCAAAAACATAGAATTCAAACCCACTTCATCGGACACAACAAAACCTACCTAATAACAAGTAATCGATAAAAGATATAACTCAAATAAGAACTCCAAACATCCTAAAAAATCGACAAAAGACTCTTAACAAAAATAAAAACAATCCAATGCCAACTAATAAAAAGAAATATTACATAAGTAAATTCAGTGAATATTATAAGTAAATACAATCGAAATTGTCAAATAAGATATCCATGAATGTGTATATTGCTTAGGTGCCAACAGGTCCCATAAAAATTCTCGAAATCAACCCCATTTTGGTAAAGTCTTTAGCTATTAACAGAGCACCAATTTCGGCTTTCTCTTTTGCGGCGATGATCTTTGGCTTTGGTTTTCTCTTTAATAACATCGAGTGTCGCCATAAAACATAGAAAAATAAAATAATTGAACCTTTTTAATTTTTAGGGCAATTTATTAAACACATGGTGGCCTTGTCAAAATGAACACATGGTGGAAAAGAGTACGAGAGAGAGAGGGGGGTGTATGGAGAGAAGAAGGTCGAGAGAGATACTGGGTGGATTTGATGGCTGGGTTTGCGGTGGGAGTGAGGCAAGTCGGGCGTGCAAAGGAAGCAGAAGTAGGGGCTGTGGTGGTGCCTACGGAGTTTGGGTAGTTGACGCAGTAATGCCAACTTATCTCAAGCTATTAAAGACTTAGATCATCTGAGAATTCCACAATAACAAAGCTTCATGTGCATCATGTGAATATATATATATATATATATATATATATATA